CAAGGCATTTATGCGGATATATCACCAAAACTTTTTCCCTACCAGAAGCACGATTTGAGTCATTCAAGACAATAGTACGACCGACTCTGGAATATTGTACTATTGTTCGCAGCCAATTGAGAAAGAAAGACAGAACTGCTCTGGAAAATGTCCAACGATCATTTACCAAGCTGGTCATGGAGCGCTGCTCAAACCTGACTTATTATGATCGCTGTCGAAAACCAGCTGGATTCACTTTGGCTGAGACGCTTAAAGAACAACCTCGTTCTCTTCTACAATATTACAAACCAACGAATTTACGCAGACAGCACCGCACTTGAACTACGGAGGACTGCAGTCTACCGCACACGTAATGGCGGCTACTTGATACGTACAAACCTTTAAAGTCATAAAATTCAACCGAATTTCTTCTTAGTGAGATACACTTATCTGTGGAACAAACTACCCCTACAGATAGGCATGTGTACAAGCCATGTCACGTTTCGAAATCTTCTTCAGACCTTCCTCACTATACCAAATGCTTTGAAGATATTTGACTCACAGCAAACACTAGAAACATTGACAGAAGTTGGTATAAAAACATATAAGAAGATATTCGCTTACAGCTAACTTACCCACTACATGTCATTACATACCATATCAAATTCTGTGTCTTTACAGTCTAGTAGTCCCTCCCTTTATTATCTACTCCTGACGATACAAACATCCGTAAATTTTACATGTGAGTTGCACGGGTCTAGGACCCAAGGAAAAATAATCATGATCCGAAATGCTATTAATAAATTGTTCTTTAATGTTGTGAAACGTATTCACTATACAAATGATCGCTCCCACTTATGGGGCCGTGTACCGTATGTCGGTAAATATACAAATTTATAAGTATATATATATATATATATATATATATATATATATCGTCGGCCTGTTACCTAGTGGTAACGAGCTTGTCTCGTAATCTTGCTGCGCGGGTTCGCATCCTCGTAGAGGTGGGCGTACTCGCGGCTGCGTGCGACTGGTGGTGGTCGCACAGCTGCGAGACGCTGTTACGGCATACGCTGACACATTATTATTATTATTATTATTATTATTACATACTTTTACACCTGTTCGCTTGTCGACCGTAGCTCGCGCCAACTTAGTAACCTTCGCGCGGTGCAGTTTTGCGACACATGATGTTCTCATCGAGTTGTTTTTATTAACGTTGTTTTCATAATTGGATTCGTTGCAAACCGGGATGTGTTTCCACTTGCCCTACCTCACCAAAAGCGATGTTGCCAATTTATTAATCCGGTGAATCATGGGGTTTTCCCGAGTTTAAATGACTTTTTTCTTTCACCCATTTCATTTTTTTACAAAGACTAATTTTCTAACCCGCTTCACTCAAAGCTCATTATCACCAACTTCTATCGTCTATACAGGATTTTGCAGCTTGTTTATACGATTTCCAAACCGCACAAAACACTTGTCCCGAGTGTCCTGATGTGTATCTCCATCGTGGTCAAATCAACTTGCTGGCCGATCAGTTGGATGAGGCACTTCACGACCTAAATACCGCGGTTAAATTGAAGCCCGAATTTTCCATTGCCCAAGTATGTGATGTTAACTCTCCTATAAATCTTATTCTTCTGCTAGATTCATATTTGTGCTACTTCCTGGTTATCCGCATGATCTATCACGATTCCGTTCATGGATTGTTCGATCTTTTCCCCCCTTTGTTTCTCGTCACACTCCGACCAATGTTCCTTGCACACATTCTACATTATCCTCATTGCCTGGGTACTCTGACGTCTAGTCGATGCAACTGGTGCTAGCTATTTAATAGCCCTCTATCACCATAACCAGGATCATGTATTCCATTAACTATATGATTAACTATTCGATTGTCGAGCATGTTATTTCAACCCGATGACCTCTACATTGATGGCAAACTTCTTCATGTGGGTTCTCAGCCGGTACTAATAACAAATGGTAGTCCCTGCCTCAGCTTTTTTGTGCCCTTGTTGTGGTACATTAACTCACAGGATGTTTTTGGACAGGAAAACTACACGCTTGCTTGGTAGAGTACGATAGGGACTACTGTTTTATCCTCTAAACCGTGTGTCGAGGCATCTGATGTTTACGCTTCTTAGCTAACCTCATCTTGGTAAGCGTATCTAGAGGAAACTGGCATCAGGTCAATGCTATGCACTTATTCCTGTTTATATCAGCGATGAACAAGTCGGCTTCATGAATCCGTCTTCCACCGCTGATCGGCTTCTCGTTTTGTTTGCATCAGACTACTTCCCTTTTGACTTGAATCGAGCTTCGCACCTCACTATATATATATATATATATATATATATATATATATATATATATATATATATATATATATATGGTTGGAGGCAACCGTATCTGTATTCGCCTGTCACTGCGGCCTCCACGGGGACAGCCACAGGACGCCTGCGCATACAGAGGGCCCATGGGCGGCTTGCACTGCACCACCCACAGTTCCACCCATACATCCATATCCTGTGTAAACCCGAAGGAATAAGACTGGGAGGCATGTGGATGGCGGCCACGTTTCATCGAGGGAGCCGGCCCACACTCCTTCAACAAACAGAACAGAAGCATTCCGACCTAATTGGGGGCAGATGCAATCCCTAGTGTATTTAGGCCTTTATTGCTGGTTGAAAAAGTGGGTTGATACATGAACGCTGGGGTTTTCCTCTCTTGATAATGAGTCATTCGTGTTGGGCGTGTGAATTGCAGGAAACTGGATTGTTTGCTTCTTTTGAACGCAATTGTAATGGAAGTGGTTGTGGTTGTGGTACCATTCCCGCATCTAATAAAAGTAGCTTGTAGTTCGGTGATGAACTGTGAGAGGTCATGCATATATGGGGTTCGACAGAATGTGCCTTTGCCCGGTGTCCAGGCAGTTATTTCCTTGTTTACGGTTGCAGCAGTCGGAAAGCGGAACAGAGTGATGATGGCGCGGAGGTTGATACATAGGGTTAGTTAGGAGACAAGTTTCTCTGCCTTAGCTCGTATTGAGATGACAAGTGTTATGGTAGTTAGCTTGGTTATGACGTGGAACCTTGGAACTGTCGGCTTTTTCGTAGTTACCTACTTTTGATGCCAGGAGCCGGGTTTGTGATCGAAGCCATCCCACGCGACGATTACAATTCGCCGCTCAACCAAGTCAACTAGTCGACTTCGTTCGCAATCGCTTTCCTTAGTCTTGCGTCAGAGTCTTATGACAATGCGTCGTCCTGGGTCCGAATTCTTTGCAATTGTAGGTTATTCCGGCTTTTAATCCACCAGCCGACACAATGGTAGTGTCTTGCTTACTCGCTGATCCCATTGATCTGCTTGATTCCGATAGTGTTATTGCGACGCTGTCCGGCTACTTTACTTCAGTTCGGTTTCATCTTACGCGTTCCTTCAATGCCTACTGTTGTATATGTTCATTGCTTTTTCTTGACTAACTTGTTAACATTAGTAAGGGCTGTTAGATATGTGCCACCTTAACCCCCATTCATCGGGAGTACTGATAGCTTGTATGCAGTGATCATAAAGTTCAGGTGTCTGTGATCATACATTCTTACCGCGAACATTGGGTTTGGTCAATTGATCATCGCTCTCTGGCCTGAAATAATGGGAAATGCAATATTCACAGTAGGTACAACGCCACATCTCCTGACTAAATTGATGCTGCTTTCACAGTTTCATATTTGTATGGACAGTTAATGTGCGATTGATTGGAACATTAACGAACCAACTGTCGATATTTTCCGGTTTCCCTGGCATCCTGTTTTTCCATACTTTGCGGTAAACTGGGTCAGTCAATACCATCATTATGATGATATTGACTGACTCCGCTTACCGCAGTCAAGTGCATTCAAGTCCCATATGCATCGCATGGTCGAGTTCCCATAGTTTCAGTTTCTATTCGATTCGCCCTTCCTTAGCAACTGTCATTTCCGGATTGATAAATATGAGTGCTGTGGCTTATCTGACACAGCATTGGTCTTAGTAAGCATGTAGCTATCGTCCTCATTTTCCAAGTTTCTCAACTCAGTTTATTCGACCAGCGAATGTGGTTACTGTTGTACCATATATGATTGAATTTCACCATCTACTGGTCTAGTCTGTGCCAGCGCGAGCATATTGGGTTTCGCGCCGGAACCAATGATCGGTCCACCGTTGTCCCGTCGAATGAATACAAATCTTGGGACATATACGAATGCTGCCTCGTCCTGACAAGCATTGTCATCAGCGCAACTCCTGACGCGCCTTTACGCCGGCTATTATTCAAACCGTTTTTCTTTGTTGTGCAGTTCGCACTGCTCACATTTACCTATATTGCATTCAATTTTTAGGCTCAACGATTATACGCCCTATATCGAAAAGCATTAAGCGATTCGAACCCTGAGCGTGCATCAAGTCGTGTGGAAGAGTTTCGGAAGCTGTCCCAGAAGTATCCACACTGCATAGAGACCCATTCACTGTTTGCACAGGCAAGTATTCTCTTTGGTCGTTTTTTATCGTGCGTACTCATACTAATCAGTTCACGCTGCCATGAATTACATCTAGTGGCTGTCTCGGATCATCTGATGGCATTCCATCGGTAATTAACATCTTTGGACGCGTATGTAGTATCCTCTAATATTCTGAACACCATGTTTGATCGGGATTTTTGCCTTGCTTATTAGTGATAACGATGCTCTGATCTGTGAAACATTCGCCACATTTTCGCGCCTTTGTGCTATTTTATCTGTCTACTTTTTATTCTGTGTAAGTTGGTTTCTTTACTGTACGTCATTCCTTTCCCGCTCCTGTGCTTAATGCCAGCTAAGCAGTTGTAGAATCCAAAAGATTGTTTCGGGGCTGCAGTCACTTGTCACATTGGCATTACATGCATCTCCCAATCTTTCTGTTACCTGGTTTTCATCGTCTTCACTGTCATTAAATAAGCCGTTTTTATGACGTGGAGTTTAATCTTGAGAACTTTGCTTGTTCTCTTTAAGAAATCTTAAATAGATGTGTTACCGTTTTAGTAAAGCATTTCTGGTTCTAATCAACTTAATACTATGAACTTCCCCATCGAGTGGGCTCGGGCTTTAACTTCAACTCGCTCGCTTTATACGGATTTTCTCGACAGGATATGGATGCGGCGTTGTGGTTCGCTGGTGCTGATCGCTTTCCTACGAGTCATCAATGTTGAAGTAGATAGCACTTCCCCGTTACCGATCGGTTACCATCTAACGGACTGTTCAGCCCATGTTGAAACAGTTTGTCATACTGTTTATGTAAGAATACTTCTTGCGCATTTACTTTATAACCGTAGTGAAGCTACTCTGCAAATGTTGGTCGTTCACCAATGGGTCTATCGATCAAACTGCTTCCCGGAGATCGACTTCGGGATTAGGAGTATGCAGACGACATCGCCGTAATTTGTAACCCCTCACAGGCCGCCAAAAATGTCTTGTGTAAGTTGGAGATGTCACTCTCTCAGTTTGGAATGACTTTCTCATCGAAGTGCAAGGTTTTCATGCAGCACTGACTAGGCGCTGCTCCCACCCTTACACTTTCAAGTTATTCGTTGGAAGAGGTATACAAGTTTGTCTACTTCGGAAGCTGTTTCAGTGCTAATGATTTAACGGACAAGAACTCTTTGCGCGTCTCCAAGGCCCGAGTTGCTATTGCTAATTTCCGCCATCTCTAGCGTCGAGGCGATCTGAGTCTTTCACTTAAGGGCCGAATTTACGATGTCATAGTGACAGCGGTCCTTTTCTACGGTTGCGAATCTTGGTCTGTCCATGCAAGGCTATTAGATTTTGATTACTGCTGCCTTCGGAGCGTCGCTGTTGTACGATGGCAACATCACACTAGTACTGAAGATGTTCAACAAATGATTTTCAGATCAAACAGACTTTGTCGGCCGCTGAGCAGTATAATTTCAATGTGCAAACTTCAGTGGCTTGGACACATGCATCGCATGCCTACTCATCGTTTATCTCGTCGGGCCTTTTTTGTGCGCGCTTAGATGTCGGTTGGACGCGAATGCAAGTTGCCCAGCGTCTGACGGGCCAGAAGTATGGAAGCGCTAATCTCAAAGTCGTGGTCCGACGCTCCCGACTCCCCGGTTGGGCGCGCAAGGATCATGGACACACAAGGCTGGAAACCCTCTGGGATATGGCACGAAACTGTGCGCAATGGCTGATATGTTGTGATACTCTACTCCTATACGTTGTCGCACTATGCCAATTGCACCATTGGCCATATATATATATATATATATATATATATATATATATATATATATATATGCTGGATCAGGTTGTTGGTATTTTGACCAAATCACTCTTTGATTGGCACATTTGTATCAGGTCTTCTTCGCTAACTGACAATTCTTGTGCTGCTCTCTGGCGCTTTTGCTGCTTTGCCATGTCCAATCCTTCAAATAGTCACTGCGCATTACCTTTCAATCGCTGAAGTCTTCGAGTTTATTGATCTACCATAAATGTTACGTTTTCTCGATCACATCTTTTATCACTGCGATGAACCTGTGGTGGCTCAATCCGACTCATGATTGATCAACTGAACTCAACGCTGTTTATCCTTGTCTCACCTTACAGGTCCTCATTGAGCGAGGTGACTTTAGCGCTAGCGACGAACAATTTGCCAAGGTGATTGAGTTGTCCCCAGACTCTGGTCTTGCATATGCACACCGGGGTTTGTTGCAGCTTCGATGGAAACAAGATCGCGACGCAGCTCTCAAGTGGTTCTCCATCGGAGTCGAAGTGAGCGCTATATGTTGATCGTCTAACAGTTTCGCAAAGATTGCATACCTGCTACGGCCGGACAGCCATGCTGTCGTGACTCCCGGTATTCGGGTTCGAATGTGACTCAAACCATCATTTAATTAACCTTTTTACCAGATCGTTGTCCTGTACTCAATCCTTTATACTAGTTAACAAATGCAATAGTAGGTAATAATCACTCGAAAAGGAAGAAGATAAACTACTATAACGATAATCAAATAGTTAAGTAACAGTGCTCGTTGGCCAAAGTAACAAAATGGGCCACACATGTTTCTTTTGAACCCAACCCAAGTTTAAAGTTACAAAGGCTATTGTATCTATCGTTCAAACCCTTTATCCCAACCGATAGTGCAATGAACTCCACCATTCTGTTTACTGGGAGTGTGATCGGTCTTTTCATCGCTCATTTAACAGTTAATTGTATCCGTCTTGTGGATGGAGTTTTTTTGGTAATTTTTTACCGATAATACTCCCCCTTTCTCCCTCTTCCTAATATACTTTTTTTGCGGTGTGGTATTTACCCTCCTGCACAGTTCCGAAGTTTGCAGCTACTGCTTATGCAACAATCTTATTATGTTCGTTCATCTGCTTTGGCCTAGTCACGAAGTATTCCATCCCTTTTCTTTCGTGACATTGGGGACTTATGTGATGCATGTTTCACGTTTGCCGCTCCGCAATTGTTGATCTACATGTTCACTCATTGTTCATTCATTGTCGACTGGAATTTCCTACTCGATGTTTGACGTTTCCGTCATTCGCCAACTATTTTACCTCCGATCTATCTATCTTCCGTAGTCACAAACTCAGCTATCAAGGCATCCTTCGGCACTTGTCCTTCTTCACACTAGTCAAATATTCATTTGTTATTTATTCTTGTTCCCTTGAACCTAGTTCCAATAGCCATTTGATACCCATGGAGTTTGATCAGTCGCCTTTCGTTCCGATTGCCGATCTTCAGTAAACGAACTTTACTGCGTATTGAATAACCGGCCGAAATTGCACGTGCTGTGAATACACCTGCTATCGATGTTTGCTGTCTTCACGTAATCAAGCCGTGGGACTTCAGTGCTATGCTCAAGCTGACCTCTCACCGACCATGGAGCTAAATATCATTTGTGTCTGTCCCGCAACACGGAAGCAGCTTCGCCGTGTTCAGCTGATATTAATGCGCTATCAATGTACAGGGTCAAAGTCGCATTTCTTGACTCGTTCCCAATTAGCCACTGACTATGTGCAGTTCGACTTCAAAATTCGTGTAAGCTTAAGAAACGTCACGAAAATAGAGGCAGCTCGTTCGTGTTCTACCCTTGTGTTCCATTAGGCTGGGTCTATGACTCAGTTAAGGACGAATTTCATCACGAGCGTCACTGTCGTCGTTTTGCCTTCCTCACTGCTCAGGTTGGTTGCTTGTTACCATGCACGGATTTAACGAGAGCCGCACAGAGGTTATAGGTAGACTACTCATATTCTTTCCTTCAACCAGTTACTTCGATCATACAGTAATTTTTCCACTTGACGTTTTATACTAGTACAACCATTGTCCCACATCAATCATGTCGCATCTGGTGAGGCAGCGTTATGGTTCGACAGGTTATTTTCATTTACGTCGTTCATTGTTTTGTGCGATTATTTGCGGATGACCCGGAGGCTGAGACATCACATAATTGATAATAGCAGACTAACAGTTCACTTGTTTCAGCCGTCATCCATGCAGCGACAGCAGATCACAGTCTGTCGGTTCAACAACTAAGGTCCGCGCACCCAAGTGCGGTGAATTCAGTTGATACTACTCACATCACCAAGGTAACAATAAACGACATGATGAGAAAAAGGGAGGTAGAACACCGAGAGTATGAAAGGTGAAGGGGGTTAAGAAAGAGATGAGTAAAGCTAATCGGAGTGTTATATTACCAGTTGGGTGGAAGAAACCGAATGCGGCAACGCCGACTGCGCCATGTCGGATAGGGTCTCCAGCCACTGGTTAGACCCACCCAAGGAAACGTCATACACCAGCCTAATTAAGCTTTTCGGTCAGTCTGCTCATGCCATTAGGTCATCTCATCGACTGGACACCTCGCAATTTCCCGCGACTGTGTCGTGACTGCATATAATACACACCGAGAAAAACTGCTAGCGGGCATGTGGAAGACATGATCTAGCTAACGTGGATTTTAATGAGCATTCCAGTGAGACACCAGAGCGTTTCTTGCCAGACATCAACAAGTGTGCACCCGGTGTTCCCACTAAATGTGAGCAGTCCTCCGTAAGTGCCGTTGATCAACGACAGCCAATCGTTTGATGCCATCAGTGCGAAGTGGCCAGGTCTCTGATCCATACAGTAAAACCGGCCTTATCGCATCGTTATCCACCCTAACTTCCACTAACACGCTGATGCACCTCCATTTCCATAGATGGTTGGGCTTCTGAAATACCACACGCGCCTAGTTGATATGTGAAAT